CAGAGTTCACAGGAGTTCTGGACGTTAGTGAATGTGAAATCTAAATAATCTTTTTTATGACATTAGAGGCCTTTAAAATTATTCTATTTGTGTATCTATGGGTATTAAGGGGGGGTTGAAGATTGCAAAAGTTTTCCAACAAGCTAAACTTAATCACATTTTGTCACGTTACAGAATCAAGCTTCATTGTATTTTGAGTGGATTTTAAGTTATTTACTATCATGAAGTAGCACACAATTGTTAAAGTGAACAAATATCCTGCATTATCCCGATTTATTGTTATACCTCTAAGTAATCTGAAGTGCAACGAATGCTTTCAGAAATCCCCTTGTTAGTAAAGGGTTGTAAACAAGGTCCACGTGTTTCTTAGAGCCTCTTATGTTTATTAAATAACATTAGTGAACAAACAGCTTCATAAAGACTGATTAATTCAACCTAATAGGTCAGCAATTAAACTAAACAGTTCAAATTAATCCATTATGTCCAACAGATGGCCTCAACTTCACATTTATGTGCTATTTCATTTTCATCCGTCACATGAAACATGATAAAATCTCAAGAAGCAGGGTTATGAATACTTTAGAATATTACTCCAAATACAGCTAATTTAAAAGTGTTTCTCAGTATTCCTTATTAAGACATGTGTTCATTAGATGATGGTATAACTGTTCTGATATACTTAAAAAAATATCTAACGGCTACAGGCTTAAAGACAGAGAAATATGAGAGATCAAATGTTATACATAATAAATTAGTGAAATTATTTATTTATTTCATCATTAAAGTATATAACAGAAATATTATTTTCCAAAAGAACATTAGAATAAGTAATAATACTATGATTATCTGCTGATGGAGTTTGGGTTTCATCTCCAGTTTCTCCAAAGTTTGCAAAGTGAAATTAAAGTCATACAAAAAGAAAACAGGCTATTTGTTCTCGCCATCTGTTTTTATGTCACTAGGGGGCGACATTGATTTGAGAATATCTGCAGGGCTGAACAGATGCAGTTTGTTTCTGAAGTAAAGGTCATCTTATGTAAAGCGTCCCATATTTAAAATAATTAATATGATGCAGCTAAAGACTATGCTGTCAAATTTAAGGTCGATGTGTCATTGAAAAAGCTGCTCTGTGTTATTTCCTCTATTAGTTTTAATAAACTGAGGTTGTGTGGAGTACAGACTGAACCGGTTGTTTCTGTGAAAAACTTGCAATAAACATAACATGTGAGAGATCTGTATGGTGAAATGGAGAATCAGTCTGTAGAAAAACATGTTTCTCCACAGATGTCCATTCAAATTTGCAAAAATAACATTAAATGAGTGCCTACTGTTTGTAAATCATTGAATACAATGGCATTGATAAGTGTAATGCATGTGGCTATAGCTCATGAAGGAACCGCAGGGAGTCTCAAATTGAGACAAATAATTAGAGATGCACCAATCATGCTTTTTTTCAGCTTGATAAAGATATTGATCTATGCATTGCAGGATATATCCCTAATCCTAATCCCACTCAGGATTTAAGTGCATGCCAGGGTTCTTATGAACTAGACAGTTCAAAATTCACACCCCTTTTTTTTTTTGTTCAAACTGTGTTGAAGTTTGGTTTCTCTGTGTTCAACAATAATATAAAAATTACAGATGGTGAAAAAAAAAGTATTTTAACCAACATTTTTGCATTTTTACTTTTATATGGGCTCTACCTAGGACCTACTTAGCCCCATTCTGCTCAGATTCTCTGGCTGTTTTTATTTTTTTCTTAATTTTTTTTTTTTGTTTTTTTGTTTTTTTGTTTAAGCCAGCTCATTTAAATAATGTTTAAGTGTAAATTTAACACGCAGCTGTTCACTAATTTGCCATGGGATTAAGGATTTTTTGCAGACGAGGGGCAGCAAAAAGTTAAGCTGAAGACTGAATGATGTGGATTAAACATAAATAAAAATTTAGTATTTGGGAATCTTAAGCCATGCTTATGAAAAAAAAAAGACTCAGCTTCCAAAGTTACACTCAGGCAGTGGGCTGCGTTTAAAACCCTAAATCTGTTTTTTTTTTTTTTCAAATAAAAAAACACTCAATCGTCCAATGTAGAAAACTAATTTCAGAGTGGTCAAGTCTATGGTTTTGAGCTGTAAAGTCATTACCTTCATTCTCGGCCCTGATTAAGGTAAAAATGTCCGCAAGTAGCCTTAATATTGCAACTCCTTAAGGAAAACCCTGGAGCAGCTCAGACAGCCGCCACCCCTCTGCTTCTGCTGCACCACCTTCAAGTTAAAACCCTGCAGAAGCAGAAGTGCCCTGTTCTATTAGTTCAGGCAGCTCTGTGATCCAGATATTTATCCCAGTGGAACCCATATATAATAAAAATACATAAATATTGAAAAAATTATTGCATATAAAACAATACAAATATTATTTGTATTTATTGATTTTAAATCATTAATACTGTCATTTTCAAAGATCCAATACATAAAAGCAAGAAATCTTTAAAATCTGGATTTGAGAGTTTCTAAGCCAAAAGAGAGGAAAAATAGCAGTATTTAAACTTCTGAATGAGCACATATTTATAAGTGGATTATCTCATTAAATTTAAAAAAAAACAAAAACATTTTAATGACTTGGACTAAAAATTCTATCTAGTTTTGCCAAATAAATGATAACAAATCATCTAAATGTAAAAAAAATTATGTTTTTTTCTTATGGATCCTGGAATAGGTTACTATCTTATAAGATTATTATATATAGTTTTCCTTTTTCCATACTTAAAGTAAAAAAAAAAGATCCCATATTTTCCCAGACAGCATAGGAACCCTGGCATGCCGTTCGTCGATGCATTTACAGCCCAAAGATATTAGGAACAATCCATTTTGATGCATTTAATGAACAGAGCAAGAAAAAAAAAATCCCAAAAATGTACCATATACAGAAAAGTCAAAGATAACCTAGCCAGTACAGTAGATTGGTGCATCTCTAAACAAAACAGGCGTCCTGGTTAAAATAAAGAGATTTAAATATCAGAATCATACAACAACTTGACATGCACATCATATCTGAGTATTAATGTACATGAAGTTTTGTTGTTAAAAACAGTAATAATGGCAGAGAGACCCTAATACAAATATAACATGAAATCTTAAGACATAATGACGATACCTACACATTATAGACACATTGCTTTTACATTCATATATGTCAACACTTAAATATGTATATACAGTATACATATACATATATATATATTATGATGTATACAGATATATTGGGAAAGTAATTATTTGCGGCATTTATGATGGGTAAAAGCCATTTTGATATTTGTCCCACCAGATTCTGAGTTTATATAATCTGGATTGTTGGACCAAGACTCAGACTAAAGCCAGTTCTTTCTCTTTATTTCCCTTCAATCTACTGTAGATACCATCCTTCCCTGGACAAATACATTTACAATCATCAACTAATGCATTGTCATTAGCAAACAGCTATAGAACTGAGGGTGTTACATGAGTACTGCTGGGTAATTCATTCCAAATATGATTATATTTCATATATCTGATAGGGTATTGACATATATTGCAATGCTTCAGTGCATACAAACATCAAGTGTATGTTTATGTGTGCATGGGTTTCTGTTTGGCACACATGTAGGGCTGTGGGTGTGTTTTGACAAACGGTGTTAATGAAATAGTGGCATCTGATACTAGCTGAAGGGCTGTGGGTGAAGGGAGCTGGCAGTGGATTTACTCTCTGGTGCGATGACAGAAACGCTCTCGACTGAAGGCCAATGGCATCCTTCCCAGCTGACACGTTTGACACTGTAAGGCCTCTAGATTGAAACTGGCTTTTTTAAGCGTCCAAGCGACCGGACAGTGGCGGATTAAGCTCATAAAGTCGTCATTTATTGAAGAGTGCTGCTTATATTTGGGTTCTTGGGCGTCGGCTCTTTTCAGATATACATTATCACTGTTATCTAAATGGATTGGAGCAGAGTGCACAAATATGAAGAGGTCTGCTTTACTTTAAAATTGTTGGAGCTGAATTTCTGATAATACAACTTAAGAACTTTTTTGTTCATAAGACCCATCAGAAAAATATCTTGTCTTGCTTAGAAAAAAAAACAGCAGCACATGTCAGGCTGGCTAAACTACATCCTGTTAAATGCTGCTTTAATTAGAGCAATGTTCCTCAGCTGAAGCCTAGTAAACTGGGATTCCTCAAGGATCCATTTTGACTTTTCCGCAATTATTGTCTTATTTCTTGCCCTGAGGGTCTACATTGAGCAAAACATCACATTTCCTGCTCCTGCCATGCTGATGACATCCTGATCTATTTGCATATTAAAGAGAACATTTGATTTTAAACTGTATTTAATCGGTTTAGTTAAATTAATAACCTAAATAAGGTTTAAGTTACCCAAGTAAACTTATTTGCTAAATTCAACCTCCTTATCAGTTTAGTTATTTTTTCTGGTCAGAAGGCCTTACTATTCAGGCCTTAAGATTAACACCCACCAATCTGCTAAATACGACTGATTTTCAGTGGTTGGTATTTGACCAAGGAACGAATGACATGTGCTGCACTGACTGTTTTTATATGTTTCCTATATTCTCAATCTCATGCCGTACATTTTTTTACTGCTGTAAAAATGTTTTATAACTGTGTTCATCACTTTTTTTCTATTTTAGTTTTTATCTTTTGAATTAATCTTCTACTTCCCTGGAGCTCTTTTAATATTTAAAGAAACAACCCATTTTATTACTTTGTAAACTTCATATTTATATATTTATTTGACACCTTTCAGTGGCAAGTCAATTAAAAGTGCTGCACAAGAGAGGATAATAAAAAAACAATGTGCATTGCAGAGGCATAAAGGCAACACTAATGGTTAAAAAGAATGTTACTTAAGATGGTTATACAAAAAAGCTAAAATGATTGATAAAAATTAAAGAGAAGTTATATAAACTAATAATGTTTAGATAGCTCAGTCAGAGGGTGCTCTATAAAAATGTGTTTTAATAAACCGTGAGTTTTGGTACTTTTAAAGTTTTCTGGGAGTTTGTTACAAATTAGTGGATAATAAGAACTAGAAGCTGCTTCTTCATCTTTGGTTCTGGACATGCAGACTTAAGCCAAAGGACCTGAAAGGTCTGGGCGTCTGATAATGACAATGTATTTAGGTTTTAAGGCAATAAGTAGCAGCTTTAATCATAATAAGCAAATTATTCCAAACAACAAAAAATGTGGCTACTGAAAATGCTGAGTGGCTAGTAGCTTTGGAAAACCGCTACCCACATTGGCTGTTGAGCAAAAGGATTTGCATGTCTATATGCACATGTCTGAAGTAGAATAAAATCAATCTAAGATGGATCTTTCCATTTTTTTAAGGTATAAAGCTCAACAGAGGCCTCTTTCATCATTGTCCGAGTTCCTCCAGGGAGTGAAAACTCTAACTTGATTGAACGAAAAATAAGAACCTGAAGGAAAATGCCTTAATGATAAAAAGTATATTTTCTCTTTCTGTAAATTATGCCTTTTATTTAAATGGGATTTTCTTGTTGCAGCACTAAACTGATTGGTGGTGGAGAAAATACTCCCCAAGTGAAAAAAATTTGACTGTGACTTTGAATTTATTATAGGTATTTAATAAAAAAAAAAAAGCCTAAAAATATAAACGAGTAACATGATCTAGTGCTGCAGAGTTATGATTAAATGCTGTTCCTTCTTTATTCCCTATTCATATATCATACGAAGTGGATGAACGTTTCTATAACTAGAATTCTTGTCTCCAGCTGGAGGATGTGGATTTTGTCACAAAGAAGTGTATTTATAAATATAATGGAAATAGATATTTCCATTTTATTGTTTTAACATGGAACTAACTAGACTCACAATCCAACTAAAAGGAACATTCTTCACATAAAATATAGCCGTAACATGAGCGAGCCACACAGCTCATTATTTCTACTTATCACAACCTTCAATGGTTTTTGGTATTTTGACTCTTTTACTGCCAAAGTTGTCAAACCAGAAGCCAAAAGTGAAACGGAACAGCCAGGGTGTAGGTGCATTCGAGAGCGAGAAGGTGTATTTACTTAGTTCCTTGTGTATAGAAGATAAAGACTTAAGTATATTATGGATTAAATCTGGGTGTCTTTAAAGTCTATGGAATGTTTGGGATTTTCCTTCATCTACTTTTTCTCCATGTTCAAACATTTTTGATATTTAGGATATTTCTTCTCCTTTCTGCAATTTACTCCAGTTCGCAGAGAATCACTGACATTCCGGCAGTGGAAAACTATGGAATGATTGTGCTATAATCTTCAGTTTGATACAAATTTGTAAGAATAGCTTAAAAATCAGGGGAGGTTTTTCTCTTATTAAAATCGTATTGAAATCAAAAGAATGCGTTATGAAGGTACGCTTGTCATCTTTCAAATTTAGAGAAATTCTGCCCAGAGGTGAAGTTTGGAGTAATAGAGAAGAAGGTGGGAAAATTTAACTGTTTGTGCATACATGAAGGACAGGTATTTACACAGATAAATGCATGTTTGTACCCCTGATATGTTAGATGGGTGCTGGTTCCGTCGGGGTGCGATCGGCCTGACGAGAAGAGACGGGTCCTTTAGACATCTCTCCTGTTTTCATTTGGTCTTTGTTTTCCCCACCTCTCCGTTCAGCTTGCCCTCCTTTGCCAGCTTCTCGTTGAGTTGGCACAGCTGGCGTAGGAAGCCGTCGTTGGGGCCGATCTCTCTCTTCTGCCTCACGGTGGCCAGAGCCTGCCGAGCATCCATTTTATGTCGTATCATGAGGTAAGCAACGACCATGGTCGGAGAGCGGCTGTAGCCTTCTCTGCAGTGGACATACACCTTCCCTGGAGGACCGACATCAAAACCGTAAGAGGCATTCATGCAAACCAGGAGCAAAAAAATGCAATTTTTAAAAGACATTAAGGTAGAATTCAATGTATTTATAAAACAATGTTTTATCCAGAGATGGGAAGTAACGAAATACAAATACTTCGTTACTGTACTCAAGTAGATTTTTCTGATATTTTTACTTTACTTTACTACTTATTTTTATGGCGACTTTTTACTTCTACTCCTTACATTTTACACAAATATCTGTACTTTCTACTCCTTACATTTAAAAAAATTGGCTCGTTACTTTAGTTTTGAATCATTTCAATGGAGTTACCGTTATTATTTTTCACGTCATCAATACCAAATTCAATCTAATTGGATGGGAATCTACGTTGCATTTGACGCACCACTACAAGATGAATCGACAGATTCGGCGGTATTCATTCGCGGCAAATCATTGCAGCTTGGTGGCCCCAGCGTTAGCATAGTAGCATGGACGACGAGATGATTGAAAATGAACACAACGGAGATCTAGTCCTATTGGCAGACATCCATTTAAAATGTAGGCAACGGCATGAAAAAAGTGGTTTCTACTTTTACTTTTATACTTTAAGTAAATTTACAAGCCTGTACTTTGTTACTTTTACTTGAGTAAAGAAGTTTAATCAGTACTTCCACTTTTACCAGAGTATTTTTTAACACAAGTATCCATACTTTTACTCAAGTACGGAAAGTGAGTACTTTTGCCATCTCTGATTTTATCCGAATGTTAAACTTGAAGTGCTCTGATTGACAATTAGCATGGGTTATATTAATTGTTTAAAAAATATCCATCATCTTTTTTTGACACTTTTTAGGTTTCAAAATAAATTTCTACATTGCATATTAGAAAAGAAAAAAGGGCTTTAGTCTGGGTCGATAACGAAACCATATTTTTTTCCTTCATTTTCAGAGAAAGAAATATGTAAGGCAAACAAAAACAAAAAGTATTCCAAAAAAGTTACAAAACGATCCAATGGACTTTGTTTTCAAGTTTGAAGATGTTTCGCTTCCCATCCAGGAAGCTTTTTCAATTGAAAATGTCAGAAATAGCGTTGAGTTTGAGGCTCTATAGAGTGGACCAAAAGCGAAAATATAGATTAAAGATATGAAGCTCTGACTATGATCTGGATTACTTAGAATCTTCACCAGCATTAAAATAGGTACTGGAACATGTGGCACACAGTGGATCTGTGACTTTCTAAAGCCCTGATTTAAAGGAAGAGTCAGTCAAAACCAACAATCTCAATCATCAGTTCATCTATCACCCACAAAACTAAGCCAAAAAGCATGCATACCATGTTCCACAACAGTTTTATTAATTATACAATATTCAAATCCCTCTGACAACTTCTATTGGACATCTTTTTGGTGATGACTTCAAGTATTTGCAATAGGAAAGTAGCCAGGCCATCAATCTAATTTTTGTTTCTCTACACGGAGGGACTCTGGCTAGACCAAGCAAACATGAATGGAACTTCAAGGCAAACAGAACATGTCGGTTAAATCAAAAGATATATCTGCCAGTGCCAATGATGAATTTGCAATTTTTGTGAATACAGCTTTTCACTGATGCAATTTTAGTCTTGTTGCACAGATAGAACAAATATTTGTACTTAAATTATACATTTTTTAAATGGTAGAGGTATTTAGTTTGGAAAATATTTAAAAAAATAAGACAGAGTTCAGATTGTCCAGTATCTAACCTACATATGACCACCCATTTACTAGTACATCTCTAAAAATACATGACACTAAAGAATATTCTTTCATTTGAATACTTAAAAAAACAAACAATTATGATCCACATGATCAGATTCTATGAGACAGAAGGACTTCACATTTATTTAAGCAGAGTTATCAAACTATAAAACCGCTGGTGTCGAAGAATAAAAGTAGCTTTAGGCTTAAGAAACATGAGGCCAAAACAAGAAGATGAATTAATAAAGAAAACAAAGAAAACTGGGGGCAGATGCTGTGACTAAAGCTGCTGAGGACAGCAGTTTTTCTGCCAGGAGATGCAAATACAACACAGAACCTCTGCTGCAGAAATCAGTCACAAAGGAACAAAGTCACACCTGGATAGATGAACATTGTCTGTATCTGTACAGAACATATTGTAGCCTATACTGACCCACCAGTTATATGCAAAGGCTAAATCTGGTGGCATGTTGGGCTGAAAATCCCAGGAGTGATTTACAGTAACAGAGCAGCTGATATACTGGTCTTAGGTCAGATCTGCAGATTCTGCACTTCCTTTGAACACCCAACCCCCTCTGTGTCCTTCTTCTACTTTATTCTATTTTTAACTTCTGATATTCTTCCCTCTCCTCCGCCATATTGGCTGAGAACAAACCTCTGCCAATGACATGACCTCTTCTGTTCCTAATCCCCCCGCCAACCATGGATCAATGCTGAATCCGAATCATCCTGTTAAAGACGCCAGATCTTTGGCTTATACCTTCAGTTATTATCTCGCCATGTCCACGTCAGCTTTGTCTTGCATCTTAGTGCTTTTTCCATCCAGTTCACCTTTTATTTGACATTTATCAGCTACAGCCAACAATCAAAGAGCATCAGAAAATATTGGAGTATCTTTTATTTCAGTAACTCTGTATAAACCTTGAGTCTAATAATATATTGAACAGGTTGATACAGTTCAAGCTTTTATTTCTAATAGGAGGGTTGACCCAAAAAAAATGACAGCTCATGAAAACATTAATAAAATAACTACTTCATAAAATAGAAATGTTAGATTATGGCCTTCATGATAATGGCAGTTGTCACGTTTTGTCATAGTTAAAAAGCCTGGCTCATCACAGGGGGCTATTATAAGAACATGAGTAGGAGTATAATACAAAAGTAACACTAAAAGGGGACACCTTAATTAAGAAAAATTTTAATTATCTAAAAAGTTGTTTTAGATGTAATAGCTATAGGAAGGATTGATCTCCTGTAGCAGTCTGTCTTGCAGCATGTTTTGACGGGCCTAAAAGTGAAGACACTCTTACTGTTCAATTTGTCTTCCTTTAAGGAGGATGTTTAGGGTTGTCTATAATGTTCTTCATTTATGAAGCTATTTTCTTGGTGAAATTTTCTGATGCAATCATTCTTTTTCATTTATTTAAATAGTAAATAACAATCCCAGAGTTCGAAGGGTAATGGGGGACAAAATCTTTCTAAAAAAAAAAAAGAAAAACAATCCACTGGACTTTGTTTCCAAGTTTGAAGACGTTTCACTTCCCATCCAGGAAGCTTTTACAATTCAAAATGTCAGGTTCTAGGTTTTATACAGTAGCCCAACGAAGCTTTGTTGTTGTTTTGAAAACATGCAAATTGGGACAGACGAAGGGGTCCAACAAATTGGAATGGGGGTCGTTTGGCTTCTTTTGTTGGTCTGCAATGACCCAAGTGTCTGAAAGGTCGGTCGTTAAAGGGGATTTTTTGCCTGGCTGAATAGACAAGGTCCTCCACTCTCGGGCTTGGGCTGCGATGATAACGAGAAGGGATTAACTCAATTGCTGCATTGTAGGTCTTTGACAGGTAGAACCTGAGTCCACCCCCTCTGTTTAAGTTTTTTTTTTTTTTCTTAACATAGGTAGCTTCCTTCACACCCCTTTCAAACCACCTATTTTCTTTGTCCAAAATGTGAACATTCAGAGCATTGTCTTGTCCAGGGGAGGTAGCTCTTTTGTGCAGGGCCATGCATCTGTGGAAAGGTTGTTTGGTTTCTCCAATATAAAGATCAGAGCATTCCTCACTGCATACAACACTCCGCTCATATTTCCTTAGGGACAAAATCCAACTTTCCTAAAGTCTAGTGTAAAGTTTCCACAGTCAGTAATGATTTGTGGAGTCATACCATCTGCTGGCTTTAGTCCATTGTGTTTACTGGGTTCTGTTCTTCTTATATTGGCTTACATTCTTATTCTGGTGGATTTTCTTTCTTGATTATTATTCAATATACCTCTTTTAAAGGGTTCAAATCCTTTTGAACCCATCTCAGCATTCATTTTTAATTTCCCTCATCTGCGCAGGCCCCAACCGAGCTGCAGCACTGGAAAAAATTGAAATCTAGCTAAGTAATTTTTTCTTAAAATAAGTGAATTTTTCTTGGATTGAGGAGGTAAAAGAGACATTTTGCCATTGGATCAAGACAAATTACACTTAAAATAAGAAAAAACAATTGCATTGTCTTATTTCAAGTGTATATTATCTAATTATCTTATTTTAAGAGTAAAAATACTCCTTCCATTGGCAAACTATCTCATTAACCTTCTCAAATTAAGGGTAAATAAACTTAATTTAAGAAATTTTTACTTATTTATAGATCGTTTTTCCAGTGTGGTCCTTCTAGTTGTACTCACCTTGTTCTCATGTGACTGATCATCTCCCCAGCCATTATAAGCCAGTCAGTACCCATCATCCTTTTCAGATCCCTGTAAGCTAGGTCAATAATTGTTGCACTGTGTGGGGCAACAATGACACAATTGTGCCATCATGTCATATGGTTGTGCATCATTAAATTTTTGGTAACTGCTCTGTTTAGCCAGAAAAAACATTCAGATTTTTCACACACAAATCATTACTTCAAAAACAGATGGAAGATAGTAACAGAAAAGGAAAAAAAAGAACAGAAAAAGTTAAGAAACATAAATGTGAGTCATAAGTTCGATTTGACACATTAATGCATACTGGAAATATATCTAGGTACAGTTTAATATCCTTTACAAGGTAGTTTTCTCTTCATTGTTTTACTATAAAATGTGTTTAAACCTTTGGAGGTTAAATAATTATGTTTATGAAAAGAAATTATTTGATAAAACAAGTATTTATTTTCTTTCTCACCATCTTTCCATTGCTTATTTAGGGTTTCTCTGGTTTCTCTCATGTCTCTAAAGCCCTGCGTACACTGTGCGATTTTCGGGGAGATTTTCCAATCGTGCGAGAATCTTTCGATTGGGCCGACTTTCAGCCTGATTGTGCGCCGTGAATCGTGTAGTGTATAGGGGGTTACGAGCGATGATCAGCCTCTCACAACCACCTCTCGATCAGGAATCATGAGGTTGGGAGAATATCAAACATGTTTGATTTTCTCCCAACCGTCGTGGACAAATCACTCAGAGCATTGCACAGCATTGCACAAATTACCAAGGCAGCGCGGTTCACTATAGTGAGCTTAATATCCCCCATTTGTTTGGCTTCAGAATAGAGAGCTACAGAGCAGCTCAATCTCAACCCTGCGTTCAGTCGTACAGTGTGAGCAGCAGACGCATGCAACGATTGAAAAAAATTGCACAGTGTACACTGGGCTTAAAGGTGCATTTAGAACGAACAAGGTGTCTATTGCCAGGGCAGTGGAATTACATAGTATCCCTATGCAAACCGCACTGGGAAAGGTGGGAAAGAAGCCACTTATAGTAAAAAGTTACTAAATCCTCGTATGGTGAATAAGATGACATAAGAATATTTTCGACCACATTCTAAAATTCTTCTTATAAACTCTCATGAATAGAAAACCCCAGAAGGAAGTGTTCTACCTTTTCACCAAGATTCCTCCTTGTTTATTGACATAGTTACAGACTTAATTTGTTTTGAACTATTTTGCATAATTATTAGATCAACTGCAGCTTGCCATCAAAACCAATAAAACCGTTGCCCGACTCCAAACCCCCCACCACTCCACCCCATTACTAAGAAAGCATGAGAGCAGATCCTCATTAAAAATCTTGACCATGACCTTTTTGGTGCTGTGAGCTATAAAATGTCACAGCTAATGCGCAGAGCACGTCATCTTACTGCTGCAACAGCATCTTCCTCAATCTTTTCTCTTTTCCACTTTACCTATTGACCTCTACACTTCATGTTTTTGCCATATTGCCTTGTATTTAAAGTTACCCCCCTTGGTAACAGCTGGTTATAAAATCAGGACACAAAATGGATGGTTCAGCACACCGCTTGGTAGTGGATACATTTTCTTTAAATTTTGAAAGAGCAGGAGAAGATTTTGAGGTAAAGAAGGCCTGCATTCTCCTGCGTCTGGAGGTTTCCTCCGTTTTGCTCTCTTTCTTGTTGTACAGCACACCTGACCTGGCAGCAAGATCAGATTCAAGACTGGGCTACGTTGTGGTTTCTGCTTTATTTGCTCACTTCTAGGGAGTTTAAAGGACCAGAGTTTAAACAAACCAATGTAAGAACCAGTTGTGTAACGTATAAAACATTTAGCCAATGTTGACAAAGAGGGACATGAGCCGATAAGAGAATATGGAGCGAGGCTCAAGGGAGTTTCAGATTTAGCTTTCTGATTATCCTCTGTCCTGACTTTTGAGACGCATAACCCACACTGAATCATTAAGGATGATTTAATTATGAAATGGTGTCGCCTCTATTTAACAAGCAGCACTAAGAGCTCGGTTTGCTTCAGTGTCAGTCTAGTCATCTCCTATACCAGGACTCTTTGGGAAAGACGACTAGAAAAGGCAGCTTATGAAAATAAATCAATGAAAACAGTTTTGAAGCCAAGATCTGTCAAAATGAAAGGATGATGTATGCATGTTTCAAAATAACTATATTAAAAACAATGATACTAACCTTAATAGACTGCAAGACCATTAATTCGAGTGGATGTAATGCAATGATTTCTTTCAATATGACTGTGCCTTCATTTTATAAGAAAATTATATTAAAAACTTTTTGCAACTCTTTTAATACACACAAAGCAGTTTATAGGCTGCAAGTTAAAAGAAAAGAACTTTATAAAAAGAACAGGAACGGGAACATTCTCACCTTTGCCATTATGGTGCGCCAGTCCTTTGTCTATAAAATCCCCCCCCTCCTCAAAGAAGGCACTAAGGTTGAAGTCCTCTGTGTCGTTGGCTGGAATGCCATGGTATGTAATCCCAGTCCCGGCGTAGAACTCCGGACTGGTGTTGACATGCATGAAGGAGGTACCCTCTGCTACGTTTAGGACGTGCGTCACCCCGAGTTTCTGCAGTCGCATTGGGTTGTGGGCCACAAACCTAAGTGGGAAGGGATGAAAGATTGCTGAAGCTGAAAGAAAGTGAAGGTCAGTTATGCAGCAGGTTTTTTTACAGACTGTAGGTCTTAAACTCCTAAGTGAAACATACTACTGTTCACATCTACACAATGTATTAGCTAGAATTATTAATCGGCGGGCCATTTAGCGTCTGGCTCATTAATTGACATCCGCCACAATGTGGCTGATATAAAAACTTTATTTTTGCTGCAAACAGGTTAAAGAAACTTCGGGTTGTTGCTGGTTGCTGGTTCTACTCCTTTTAATTCTATTTTAATACTACTTTTCAATTCCATCTTAAATAATATTTTTGGTTATTATGACAATTTGAGTTGGACTTTTGTTGGATAGCGCAAATCCCGTTTATGTCCATGTTTTTTTTTTAAATATATTCTGGCAGATATATATATCAGATATCAGCCAAAATATCGTATATTGTTTTATTAAAGCCCCCAATATCGATTTCAGCCTTAAAAATCCCATATACGTTTGGCTCTTCAAAGTACTTTAGGTCCGACAATAGATTATGAATACTATTAAACAGATTGCATGTTTTCCAGGTAAGAAAATTAAACTAATACAAAGATACAAGGGTGTTAAGCTCCATCTGTTTCGTTATTGACTGAATCACATCCTCATGTAAAAGAGCTCAGTGGTATTCCTGTATAAGAACTCAGTGTACATGTTTTGAAGTGATATTCTTAAGTTTATTATTTTCTTCGTATTTACTCTGCACCCTTTTCTTTTCCATGTCAGTTCAAAAATAAATAAAATAGCTTGGTTTTACAAAAAAAATCTTAGTCTTACACTACCAAACATTTTACATTGTATGGATGCATTGCAAGACAAACCAAAATAACCTAATTTTCCAAATGTATGTTTTTTCATGGTTCCTTATAATTTGGTTGAGGAAGATTAAAATTGAAATTCAGTAAAATTCCCAATTATATGACACAGAGCAAAGCTACCCAACAACAACAGGAGTGAGCATAGCTGTAGCTGCGTATTAAGCCATCCTGCAAGACTGCGGCAGCTTTACTCGTTTAATTTGAGAGCCAACACTCTAAACATTTTTCGGATTCTCTCATCTTCATCTTTGTTCTTGTCATTAGAACTCTTATTGTACAAGCTATTGTACTGTAATTCTTTACTATCACGAAGTCTGTGGTTAAAAGCCTTCAGCTGATCCAAAATGCTGCAGCCTGAGTTCTTATGAAAATGAAAAACTTAAATCATAGATTCTCTTCATCTGCTTCCTGTTAAATCCAGAAAATAATCTAAAATCTTCCTTCTCAAATATAAAGCCTTAAATGGCCAAGCTCCATCTTACATCAGAGATATGATTGTTCCTTATATTCCAAACAGAGCACTTTGCTCTCACTCTGCAGGTTTATTAGCGGTTCCTAGAATTTCTAAATGTAGAATGGGATGCAGATCTTTTATTTATCAGGCTCCTCTCCGTTAGAACCAACTACCAGTTTTAGTGCGTGAGGCAGACACCCTGTCCACTTTTAAGAATAGGCTTAAAACTTTCCTTTTTGATAAAGCTAATAGAGTGGCCCATGTTGCCCTAAGCTAACGCTATAGTTATGCTGCTATAGGCTTAGACTGCTAGAGGAAATAGAAACCCCTTTTCATTATTCTGCTTCATTCCATCTCTACTCTCCCAATCTGCAGAATTTGTTAGTTCCATGTCTAACTTTTCTGCTCTCTCTGCTTTTTCTCATAGTAGCTCAATCTGATCTGTTCCTGTGTGGCTGTGACTCCATCCTGGAGAGAAATATTAGCTGTGCTGCAGCCATTAAGCCCTGTTATAGATGTTGGTTCTTCAATCTAGTCCTGTTTCTCTGACTGTGACTAATTGGATGTGCTCTCGTTCATCCTTTGACGTGGGGGCTGGCTTGGAATTCGTCTGGCTTGCTGTGTGTTTTCTGGACAAGGCCGCCTGTGGACCTAGTTGACAGTTGCATTTTTTATCTCTGCTTCTTTTTCTATGTCTGCCTCAGTCTCCTTGAACCCCAGTCGGCCTCAGCAGATGGCCGTTCACACTGAGCCTGTTTCTGCTGGTGGTTTCCTCCTGTTAAAAGGGAGTTTTTCTCTCCACTGTCGCTACAAGCATGCTTGGTGTGAGGGATTGCTATTGAGTCAATGAGTCGATGCAATCAGCTGGTTTTCCTTAGATAGAAAACATTGAACAAATCTGACTGCATGATCTGGTTGAACTGTCTGTGTAAAGTGACCTGAGATGAAATGTGTTATGAATTGGCGCTATAGAAATAAACTGAATTGAAATTGAATTTAAACTAGCATTATGCCGATGCTATTTTTTGGCCCCGATACCTGGCTGTGCAGTGTTGCATCTGTTTGAAAGGAATATCCTATTCAGGGAATATATAATTCTAATTTAGAATAATGTGATGTCATTGGAGGGTTTTGATAACTGCATCAGTTTTTTGGGGGGATGACAAGCTCCATAACTGTTAACTTGCACAGACGTGCAAACATAATCTGAAGTTTGCAGAAGGTCAATAAATTTTACACTTATATTTTTTTTTTGTGATAAATGCCAGAAGACATTGTAGTCACATATTAAGTGGAAGGAGACGATTACAGTGGTAATCAGAATAGCCTAAAGCCAAGCCACAGAGTTACAGCAACAGCTTATTTATTTCAACAATAATATGAAAACAAAGATACTTAAATCCCTTCAACTCATGCAGCCAATTCCACCTCATGTCCTTTAATTCCAGGACACAATACATCTTTTCCTGCTCCAGCTCAAGTGCTAATAAATGCTGCTTTTACAAACAGCAACTGCATATCAGATCTATACAGCTAACAAGGCACAACAAAGCCGTGCAGGATAGTTGCTGTCTGGCCCAACGCCTGAAAACACTTTACTACCCAACCTGCCTGAAAGCACTGTCCATTGATTGTGAATTAAAGGTCTGTGTGTGTATAAAACACTATGTTCTGTCAAGGTTTTATGGAGCATTTAGTGTCACTAATTGTGCACAATTTATATCCAAACAGTATATCTCTTTGCATATATGGTTATGCAGAGAAAAGGGTATTTAAAGCATTTTGTGCTTTAATCAGATGTTAGGTGATAAAACACATGATAAAACAGGAGTGTGAATTTAATACAATACTATCTGAAAATTTTGCCATACTATTGCATTCTACCTCAAGTCTACAGTTAATAGAAAAATTTTTTGCAGAAGCTGCAAGTCTGTTGGGGTATGTCTATCAGCTCTACTCATCTAGAAAATGAGGTTCTTTACCTTTGTATAGGTGAACCTCAGTCAGACTGGATGAAGATACATCAACTCTTACCGCCTTTTTTAGAGGTTTTAAACTAAAGGTGGCTAAAACGAGGGTCTGCCCATCTATTGAGCATAATTTCCCCAAACTTAGGGGGATAGTGATTGAACATTTTTCGGATGTTAAATCAATGTTCTCCACCTCAACGAAGTGCAACGAGGGCTGAAACAATTAATCGGATTAATCATGGTTAATCAATTATTGAAAATAATCGTCAACTAATTTAGTGATCGATTATTCATTAACTGCAGTTTAGAGACTGTTAAACGTGCCTTTAGCTGACAGAGCGGCCAACTTAGGGTAGTAATTATGCCAAGATTTAAAAGAAATATATAAACATTTTGCAGTTAAGAAAATGCTCCTCAAGTGGGAAAAATCTGAGTTTCACCTGGTTTAATTTCGTACAAAGTCTTCTTTAATTAACCTTTGGCTATCCGATTATTAATTGATTAATCGGTAAAAGAATCGACAGATTAATAGATTTGCAAAATAATCGTTAGTTGAAGCACTACTCCAAAAAATTTATATTTGAGAGGACTAAGTCCTGCGCAGTGAAAAACATTTGCATTGTTTCACTGGAACTGTTCAATGTTTTTAACTAAGTAAAATCGGAATATTGAGGGTTTATTGCGACCTTCGACCTGACGGCATTCGCAAAACACACCTGGTGGTGATATCAGTATCATGTTGTCAGGATTGTTTTTATGAAAGGCAGAGAAGTTGGTGAGTAATAAAGGAAAGACTGGGATGAATTTAGGACAAAACCAGATAAAAACCTGTTACAGGCTGCAAAACTCCCTAATCTAGCACAGTTTCATCTTCCAGAGGCATCACAACTAAACATACAGACAGAGCTGCAATGGAAGGGTATTGATCAAAGACTAGGTTTAGACGTTAAATGAATTAAGAGGTCTATAGCAAAAGTGGTAAAGACTGTCCATAAATGCTTTGCATGCAGTCAGATATTCTGCAAAAAGAAATTGTTGAAACATTTTTTTCTCTAGACAAGCAAAGCCAAAAGATGCATAAGGCATAACAAAACATCTGCAGCAGTAATTTCAAAAATAGCTGGATTAGAGCTACAGATTCACATTAGGTCCACAATTCTCTCACTTTTTATTTGCAAGAAACTCAATCGACTCCTTCAATGGGCCACTTATTACCCGCTTGATACTAAGAATCTCTATAAAATGCAATGAAGATTGGGGTGGTGTGACTACTGTAATGTATAACAAAGCAGATTTTTAAATAACATTTTTTATACTGCTTAGGTTGACTCTTAAAAGCTCTGCTGCAATTATGCAACAGTAAATCCTGCATAAATGTCATTCCTTCATGTCTGATTGTTGTTTAATATATTTTATCTTAACCTCTATATGGCTGTTTATCTCGTGGCTTTTTTAAGGTGCTTTCTAAATTAGGTTGTACGGTATAGTGGTAAAAGACACACATTCAAAACCATCAATCTCAATGAGTCTGGGGGACTTGCTTTGACAGCTAGGTGTGCTTTTACTGTTATACGTGTTTAAAGTCAATACCTGGTCAGTAAGCCGAAGCTGGCTGGTTGACCTCGAGCTGCAAAAATGAGATGTTTGCAACACAGCAGCACCCCTACCACATATATAAAATAAACTAATAAATAAAATCCTGAAATTAAGC